CAATAGGCTAGTGATTAAAACACACGTCAACTTTCTACATATCTGGGTAGGCTTGCCTAAACAAAAAGGTTTTAAGCAGGCGTCAAAAACACCATAGCCAGGCTGCCCACCTGATAGAGGCAGGAAGTTCAAAAGTGTAGGGGCAGATTCACACCATGCATAGGTGCCAACTCCTTGGGGCCCAAAATTCCTCATGAAAGGGCCAGGTGACCCACAAATTTCTATGCTAGGGTCTTGCACGGTGCATGGCACCCATGGCACCCATGGCCCCAGGCACCCGCGGTCACTGGGTCAAGTTGGCACTGCTGACACCATGCATCTAAAGCACACCAAACACACATTTAAAGCACATAACTTCTCCCAAAGAATCTAGGGACTGTAGTTTGTTAAGGCTGCCAGGAATTGTATCTCTGTGAGGGGGAAGCTACAGTTTTCAACACCCTTTGGGGGGTTTCATGTGCTTTAAATGCGCACTGGATGTGATGTAAATGTATGGTGTGGCCCTGCCCAATGTGCTGCCACACTAAAGGACTGACTTATTAGAAATGCGGAATGAGTATCTTGTGGCATCTGTAACAGTGCCAGTTCTGAGTCAGCAGTTTGAAATGGAAAAGTCCATTCAGTCACAACAGGATTCTCTCTCTCTCAATAGCCTTCAGGAAGTTCAGGCTATACAGCTGCTATAATAGACTTCTATTGTGTGATTTTATCATTCAGGAAAGGTCTCCAACTCAGAGAAGGTTATAGGCAAAAATAATTGTGTACACGGACAGAGAAAGCAGGGGTGGTGGTAGTGGTTTCCATGATGGTACCAAGGTTCTGATCTACCAACTTTCCAGCTTCACCTGGAGAATTTCTAAAATGAATTTTGGAAACTGAGTATGTTTCTTCGTTCTTCAGTATACATCTCCCCTTTCCAGGTTACTGATGTGCTTCAGCACATATGCACATTGATTTAAATCACTTGATCGCAGTTGGATTCCTTTTATACTGTAAGTTAATCAATGAGCAGATGTGCAGGAGCAACTTAGCAACTGTCAAACCATACCACCCAATGTCAGTTGCACTAACTCTCTCATCACCAGAGAGGAGGTTATGACAGAATGTGTTTTGTGAAATGGATTCATTTGCCTGACATTTGAGAAATTCTTCATCTTCTTTAACTCTTCCTACCATTCTGTTGGCATACTTGTATTATATCACACACTTTCAGTCTAGCTCTCTTTTGCCTTCTTATGTTCTCTTCTCTGAATGGAGATCATCAGTAGGTTGATGGGCTTAAAGCTGGTGCTAGAAGCTAGGGCACAGTACAAAGGCAAGAGGAAAGAGAATATTGCAGCAACTATCTCTTTGCCTGGAGCAGTGCAAACCCAGTTGAAAGCATATAGATGTCGAAGTGTGAAAGACTCAGAATGGGAGATAAGGGACCTTGCTATCTTCTGACTGGGTAAGCAAAATTGTACTGGAGAGTTGCAGTACAGTGAAGTGGGTGGGGGGTCATTTCAGTTTACTTAATCAGATGGTCATGAACTTTCAGGCTTTCATTGCAGACTAGAGCTCAAATGTTGCATCTGTTCAGCATTTAAAAAATGAGAGGGCTTCTAAAATGTAAGCAGTACTATATGTAAAATATGGAACATAATATGAAAAGGACTCAGAAGAAGAAACCCCCCCAAAAAAGAAGCCCCAATATAGTTCAAAGATCTGAAAAAGCAACAAGAGTGAATATCCAAGGAAATATATCAATATTTTACTCAAGTTTTATGTAGATTTTTGGGTCCTGGAGATTAGTACTATAGAATGCAGAAACCCTATTTGATTTTGTAGCTTCAAATACACAAATACACACAACTTGAAATGCAAAATTCTCCAAGCTTCAGTTAAAATTAATTTTGCATATTTGTTAAAAATGACATCAGTGAGGATTTCAATATCATTTCTAATTTCAAATGATACATAGATATGCTAATGTGTACATTTATTTTAATATTTGATGTGTGCCTTAATGAATGCATATTAATGGCCACATATTTATTTTATCTCCTTAATAAATATATTGGGTGAAATCCAAGCTCCATTAACATAAAATTGATAATGAAACTCTGAAGGCAGGATATCAGTGGGTAAATGAATATTTCATTAACACCCATTGACAAATTCTATGATGTGACATTTTTAAGTCCTTGCACATTTAAGCCATCAATGTGTCTTGGCTTGCTGTTGATCATACAGTTCTGTAAAGTCTTTTCCTGCAGGCTGTTTGCTTTTCAATAATATTTAAGTAAAAGGGGGCTGGCTGCTTAAAGTTATGAGAGCAAACTTGAAAAGGCTTTTTAAAAAGTCATGCTTTGACAGTGTTTCTTTGACCTTCAGTAGCAAAGCTTATGCCTTGCAAATTGATTAATATAGATACAATATCAAATCATTTTTCATACCATTTTTTAAATGTTTGTTAAATGCCCAAGCAGTATGTAAACAGAGTATTTGGCATTTTTATTAGGGTGCGGAACTCAGTCATTTCCTTTGCAACAACATCACATAAACTATTTTGACAGTCTAATAAACTATAAAAAGCTGTGGTAAAAACTAGCTCTGAATGTTATAACCGTACAAAATGGAAAGAGCAAGAGAAAACATCTATCACTGAGATTATTATCACTGTTGCTATGGCAACCTGGTTGCAATGGCAATATCTCCATGGTTCTGCTGTTTGTTATCATCTTTCTTGATTTTACATCATTGAAATTGTAGTAATTACACTCTGCCTGATGAAAAATGCATGCTGTCATGGCAACTAAGTCAAATATTCTTAATCATTTCACCTCTTCAATCCAAAATGTAATTGTTTGTCAGTTAAATAGGTTATACTGAAGGCCTCGCCTTCTATACGGTCTTACAATCGCTTTAAGTGTTTTGCAAAAATTGTGCTTTTAGGCTGAAGACCCTGTGTTAAACTAATGGCAAACAATGACTCATTAGAGTAAGTGATCAGTGTCTGTTAATTTTTGAGTATCAGTGTTTGTGAGATGCATTGTTATACTCTGCATTGTTTGGAAACTCAGGTGCTGCGTGTAACATTTACAATATTGTAGGAGTCTCAAAGAAAGGTTCTTTGGTACAAATTTCACATTCATAGAGTAATATCCAACTAAGTCATACTCAAAGTAGACCCACTAAAATCAGTGGACTTCTATTTTAATGGGTCTGATCTGAGGATGACTAAAGTTGGATATCACCCATGGTACTGAGCTCACGAAGACCTGGAATATTATGGCCATAATACAGAAATCCTCATGTGCAGCAGTGGAACTGCATACATGTGGTTTGTCATGATAACTTCCTTTGCCAGGATCAATTATGCAGTTGTTTTCTTTCAAGTAAACCTGTCTGAGATCTGTGTTCCATTTCTGAGGCCTACCTTCTTGTCCTCTCAGCAACAGAGGCGAAGGAGAAGGGAATGAGAAATAATAATGCTAATTAATTATTTATACCCCACCCATCTGGCTGGGTTTCCTCAGCCACTCTGGGCGGCTTCCAACAAAATATTAAAAATACAATAAAACAACAGAAAGGGCCTTCCCAGCCGGGACACCTAAATTTTGGAAAAGCCCACCAACGGAGGTCCACCTGGTCCTCTCTTTGCACAATTGTAAATGGGTTTCTAAGACCATTATATCCCACCAGTCGTTTTTAGTCAGAGCTTGTGCTTACTTGTTTTGTTTTTCTGTCTCCTGATACATTTTCACAATCTTGTTTCATTGCTGCTGTTTGTCTCTTGTTCTTATTTATAGGGTTGCAAAATTTATTTGTTGATTGCTGTTCATATCATATAAGGCGTCAAGAGTATGATTTATTACAGAAAGGTGGAATATAAATGTTTAAATAAATAAATTTGACTGATGTTAAATTTGTTCGGCCCTGTGGACAGAGGCTGCTCTTACGTTCTGTAAAGCACTTTCCACATCGGTATCACTATACAAGTCAAATATTAGTACTACTAATAACAGTGAATCATTTTTGGAAATGCCAAGTTTGTGCATATGAGAGAAGCTCCATTTGGCTTGTGATGGAATCATTTTGTGGAAGATTTCTATGGAAAAACCCAATCAAATTATGGAGTGTCCAGTTTGGGACGACCGATTCCTTACAGATGACTGAGAATCTAAAATATTTGAAAGCAATTATATTACCCTGACAGTTATTAATTTCATGCTTGACATGGCCAATATCAGCCGTCAAATGCTTGAGTAAACATGAATGTTTTTAAATTTCTTCTGAAAGTCAGTAGTGAGGGAGACACATGCACCTCACTGAGGAGGGTGTTCCCCAAATGGGAACCCATCACTGAGAAGGCCCTGTGCCAACCAGGAAGCAACCAGACTGTAGGACTTCAGAAGGCAGATATTATTATTATTATTATTATTATTATTATTATTATTATTTTATACCCCGCCCATCTGGCTGGGTTTCTTCAGCCACTCTGGGCAGCTTCCAACAAAAGATTAAAAATACATTTAAACATCAGTCATTAAAAATTTCCCTAAACAGGGCTGCCTTCAGATGTCTTCTAAAAGTCAGATAGTTGTTTATTTCCTTGACATTTGATGGGAGGGCGTTCCATAGGGCGGGTGCTGCCACCAAGAAGGCCCTCTGCCTTGTTCCTTATAGATTCACTTTTTGCAGTGAAGGAACCGCCAGAAGGACCTCAGTGTGCAGGTTGAAAGATGGGGGTGGAGACGCTTCTTCAGATATAGTTATGAGGATAAAATGGGGGAGGCAGAGGAAATATGTGATATAGTTGTAATAATTAAATAAATCCACAGGTGTCCTGTGGTGGCTGCCTCTTCAACACCTCGTGAGATCTGCCATCCCCCTTGCTCAGAAGACTTGATGGGCACAGGCCAACTCTGTGGTGGTGAGCACAGGCCAACTCTAGCAGTTGCTAACTTCTGTCAGCCGCTGTTCTAGAACATTCTACATTAACTGCGGCTTCTGGATCAAGGGAAGAGTCACGCAGAGTGTACTGCAGTAATCCAACCTTGAAGTCAATATCTGCACTCCTGTGGTCAGACTGTGATCTAGGCAAGTACGATGCATCGTTGGTTGATTGATTGATTGATTGATTGATTGATTTATAGACTGCTTACGTACCACGCCAAAATGACTTCTAAGCAGTTTGCAAGTATAAAATCAATTGTAAAATCAATATTTAATTGAAAGGTACAATTGAATTTTAACAAGTTAACAGTTAAAAAGCACAGCAATGGAGACAGTTAAAGAATGGAAACAATTTGGTCAAGAAGTTCAAGTTCCAGGAAATGCTTGCTTAAAGACGTGCATCTTTAGAATCCAGCAGAATGTCAATATTAACAGGCCTTCTTGGATTTCAGCATTATCACAGTTTACTGACACCGCAGCTAGGCAAACCTCTCCAGGATATGCTCCCCCACCCTCTCTCTCTCTCTCTCTCTCTCTCTCTATATATATATAGCCTGCCTTTGAAATGGTACAGGTTTCTTATAAGGACAGCTGGGATAATGGATGTAAAGTATTTTTAAAACTTTTTTTAATAAACCCTTTATAAATTCTGAGCATTACTGTATTCTTTTCCTCTCCCTGAAACATCCTGACTATAATAAGAGAGTGACAGTGGATAGTTTGGAATTAATTTGTTTCTACTTGCAGTTGGGCCTCATTAGCTATTACTTAAGGTAGTCAAACGCTTTATTTTAAGAAATGAAACCCGAATGAGTTCACATCTGTTAAGAATCCTTGGTTTGTTTCCTGTTGTCTACACATTTCTTTAGCATTTGAACATTTCTCTCAGCCCTTGGAGTGAAAGAGGATACTGTGTCAGCAGAGATGATGGTATACATTTATCTAAAGTTTCCATGGGTCTAAGAAACAGAGCAGTGCAATGAAAAACAACTCTGATGGAAGTCTGCAGGGCTCTGGGCTCAAAAACCTGTAAAGGTCAATCTGAAAAATAAAGCATACAGTGCTCTTTTTGGCTATAGCTGCATTCTTATCAGTCACTTATTTGTATGTTAACCTTGCTTCAAAAGCAGCTATGGAGTTTTAAAGGGCCAGATCTGGTGCAGATAGCTGTGGACTCCCTGGATATGCATTGAGGACAGTCACATTGCAATAGATCACAACCTTCATTTTCCAGAGTTTGGTTTTCCAAAGTTTACCATTACCCAAAATCATTATCTACCTCTCCATGCATATATCTGCCATTGCAGCACCATGTAAACACCACTGTTGTTTATCTGAACAGCTGATTTTGTTAATACTTTGAATGGTGAGCTTTTGGGGGGAAAGCTCTCCTGAAAATAGTGATTTCAAGCTGTTTCTACTGCTTTTTCCATTGCATTGTCATACTTCCTGTGAAACAATGCAAAGTAAATGAGGTTGTGGATCTTGCGCATAGACTCTTTGGTTGCAGTGTTGCACACAGCTGCCCATTATTCCTCAGATGTTTCACACTGTTCTCATAGTTTTGACCATTTGCCTGACTATACAGTCATACCTTGGTTTTCAAACAGCTTATTTCTTGAACATTTTGGCTGCCAAATGCCACAACCCCGGAAGTGACTGTTCCAGTTTGCGAACTATTTTTGGAAGCCGAACATCCAATGGGGCTTCTGCAGCTTCCAGTTGGCTGCAAGAGCTTTCTACAGCCGACCAGAAGCTGCGCTTTGGTTTCTGAACGTTTTGGAAGTTGAACGGACTTCCAGAACGGATTCTGTTTGACTTCCAAGATACGACTGTACTAATTACTATTGGTATACAGACAGTAATGACTGTGATACATTTGTCAATAATAATAATAATGATAATGATTTTATTATTTATACCGTGCCCACCTGACTGGGTTTCCCTAGCCACTCTGGGCAGCTTACAGAACATACCGTATTGGCCTGAATATAAGCCTCACTTTTTCCCCAAATTCCCACTGTGAAAAGTGAAAGTGTGGCTTATATTTGCAACCTTAGAGTATGTAGCCAGGAGCACGGAAAAGCAGCGCCCACCCCGCACATAGTCCACTGTCCGCTCCCCCAAGGCTGGGAAGGGAGAGAGTGAGGAAGGGGAAAGGCCTCCAGCAACACAGTGCAGCTCCTCGCCCCCTACCCAGTATACAGCCAGGAGAAGCGAGGAATGGAGCAGCTTATATTCAGGGGTTTTCCTTTTTCTCTCCCCCCCAAATTTTAAAGGTGCGGCTTATATTCGGGTGTGGCTTTTATTTGGGCCAGTTTGGGCCAAGTATAAAATATAGCCAATGGCAATTAAATTTGTTATACCCATGAATGCAATTAATTATACGTATTATGATGATGATTATGAAGAAGAAGCTGACAGCTTAAGACATGTTGCCATCATGTTAAGATAGTATGAGTTCTTAAAATTAAAATGTTAACATTAACATGATGTGTCCTATCACTAAGAAATTTGACATGAAGCGTCACTGAGTGAGAAGTTAAAATTTTAGAGAAATGTTATGAAATATTGCTGTTCCAAGTACAGTGGTACCTTGGGTTAAGTACTTAATTTGTTCCGGAGGTCTGTACTTAACCTGAAATTGTTCTTAACCTAAAGCACCACTTTAGCTAATGGGGCCTCCCGCTGCCACCGTGTCACCAGAGCACGATTTCTGTTCTCATCCTGAAGCAAAGTTCTTAACCTGAAGCACTATTTCTGGGTTAGCGGAGTCTGTAACCTGAAGCATATGTAACCCGAGGTACCACTGTAATATGTTTGGAGATAAATATTTTTAACATCATCAACATCATAATATTTGTCATACTTACTTTTTGAATTTATGTTGTGTAAATATAATGTTGAGACATTTTTCAGTTCTGGTGTCCACTAGACATTTTAGCTGGTGGTCACCTGGTCTTGCATTCATCATCTGAGGCCCTTTGTGTGCCCTCTCAAAGGGATGTGCAAAGGATGACAACGAGAGAATGGACCTTTTCTGCCATGACTCCCTAAACATGGAATGTTCCTGCCACAGAGAATTCTGATCATGACGGTTGCTTGATAGAGAGGAGCATGTGAATGTGTGTAGAAATTAGTCTACTGTACAAAGTAAAATTGGCATTTATTGTGCCAGCCATCGTTGGCATATGGCATCTGGAAGGTTGCCTAGTAAGATGTGGCCCTCCCCTGATCAAGGTGGCAGCTGCTGCTCAAACTGTTGCTTTCTTCACCCACTTGGACAAACAGCTTACTGCCTTCCATATGAAACTGTTGGCCAAAAATGACATGAAACAGAAAAGAAGATAAAACAATCGGCTGGCAGACAGAAAGAACGAAACAAGAGGGAAGCCAATATGAAAACCAGGTGGGATACCACCATGGACGTAGCCAGAATTTTAGTATTATTATTACAGTGGTGCCTCGCAAGACGAAATTAATTCATTCCGTGAGTTTTTTCGTCTAGCGAATTTTTCGTCTTGCGAAGCACGAAATCCCATAGGAATGCATTGAAATTCAATTAATGCGTTCCTATGGTCCAAACGTCCAAACAAAGCCAAATTTGGTACAACAAGAGTTTATTAAGTGCTCTTTAAAGTCACACATACTGTAAAGAGCATTTCAAAAATTGAAGGAACAATAAATTAAGTTTCTAAACATGACAGAAAAACATTTAAAAATCAACAAAGTGTACAGTACATTTTCTAAGACTCTGGGGGACAACTCGAAGAAGGTTCCTCTTCCACTCTTTGCTTCTTGCTGAAGAACCTGTCCATGGTCTGCTGCTTCATCCGCCTTTTCAGCACCTCCCTGAAAGGCGACATGACCCTCGTATCAAAAGTGTTCACAAGGTCTTGTGCCACGTGCTTTTCAGGGTGGTGCCGCTGTGCAAAAGCCTGCACATCCTTCCACTTCAGGCAAATGTCCCTCAGTTCTTTGGAGGACAGCCGTTCCTCAGTTGCTTCCTCCTCTTCCAGCGAGGCCTGCTCCTGCGCAGCCTCTGCCTGCAGTTCGACCAGCTCCTGGGTGGTCAGCTCGTGGTCGTGCTCCTCCACCAGCTCGCTGATGTCCTCCTCTGTGACCTCCAGGCCCATGGTCCTCCCCAAGGCAACAATGTCCTGCACCACTGTTGACTCTGGTGCATCAGAGTCACTTGGTGCCACACAGTCCGGCCACAGGCTGCGCCAAGCGCAATTCAAATTTCTCTGGCTGATCCTGTTCCAGGCCGTGGTGATCATCTTCAAGCAGGTGACGATGTCGAAGTGGTCCTTCCAGAATTCCCGCAGGGTGATGGTGGTGCAATCAGTCACCTCGAAGCATCGCCTGAAAAGCTCCTTGGTGTAGAGTTTTTGAAATTGGCGATGACCTGCTGATCCATCGGCTGGAGCAGTGGCGTGGTGTTAGGTGGCAGGAACATGATGCTGATGAAGCTGAACTCCTCCAACAAGTCCTCCTCAAGGCCTTTAGGATGAGCAGGAGCATTGTCCATCAGAAGCAAAGCCTTCAGCGGCAGGTCGTTGTCCAGCAGGTACTGTTTGACAGCAGGGCCAAAAGCAAGATTGACCCAGTCCACAAACAGCACACGTGTGACCCAAGCCTTACTGTTGGATCGCCACATGACACTCAGCTGCTCCTTGTCGACCTTGTGTTTCTTGAAGGCCCGTGGGTTCTCCGAGTGGTACACCAGCAGGGGCTTGATCTTCAGGTCGCCGCTTGCATTGGCACAGAAGAGCAGGGTCAGACGGTCCTTCATGGGCTTGTGGCCAGGCAACTTGGCCTCCTCCTGTGTGATGAAAGTCCTTTTGGGCATCCTCTTCCAAAACAGCCAGGTCTCGTCACAGTTGAAGACCTGCTGTGGAACGTAGCCCTCCGTCTTCACAGCCTCCAGGAACTCCGCTGCAAAGTCTTCAGCCGCAGGAACATCAGAACTGGCAGCCTCTCCATGCCTGACCACGCTGTGGATTCCAGATCTTGCCTTGAACCGGTCAAACCAACCTCTGCTTGCCTTGAAGACTTCTGGCTCGCCTGAGGTTCCTGGCTGTTCCCGGATGAGGTCTGCGTGCAAGGCCTTGGCCTTCTCACAAATGACGGCCTCAGTCACTGTGTCCCCTGCATGCTGCTTCTCTTCTAACCAGATGAGCAGCAACTTCTCGACCTCCTCCAGAACAGCTGGGCGGTTCTTTACGATCCTGGTGACTCCCTTGGCTGCATCAGTCGCAAGGATCTTCTCATCTTCAGGATGGTCCCGATGGTCGATGGATTCCTCCCGTACTCCCTGGCGAGGTCTGTCACACGCATTCCACCGTCGTGCTTCCGGATGATCTCCTTCTTCATTTCCAGCGTCACCTTCTCCTTCTTCCTCTCGCCGGCCTCTGCAGCAGCAGTCTTCTTGGGTCCCATGGCAGCACAGCTCCTACCTTCGCAGACTCAAAAAAAAAAAAAAGAAAGAAAGAAACAGTGCTTCACATGCAAAAAATTCAAAAGCACCCAGCCACCCACCACACAGAAATTCAAACCCAGAACCAAGTCCTTGAATTCCAAACACCCAACCCAAAATCCAACCCCCCCAAAAAAAGTTTTAAAAGTTTAACTTACCAAATGGCTGCAAAAGAAGTTTTGGAAAAGCTTCAAAAATCGCCAAAGTCTTCTAAAACCTCAACTGTTCCCCCAGCCACCCACCCACCACACAGAAATTGCAAACCCCTCCCCAACTGTTCCCCCAGCCACCCACCACACAGAAATTCAAACCCAGAATTATTATTTTTTAAAAAAACAACATGGCCCAATGGTCACAGAAAATCATAAAAATGCAGAAAAAAACCACACAAGCTCCCAGATTCTTGCAAACCCCTCCCCAACTGTTCCCCCAGCCACCCACCACACAGAAATTCAAACCCAGATTTTTTTTTAAAAAACAACAACAACATGGCCCAATGGTCACAGAAAATCATAAAAATACAGAAAAAAACCACACAAGCTCCCAGATTCTTGCAAACCCCTCCCCAACTGTTCCCCTAGCCACCCACCACACAGAAATTCAAACCCAGAATTTTTTTTAAAAAAAACAGCAGAGTGGCCCAATGGTCACAAAAAATAATAAAAATGCAGAAAAAAACACACAAGCTTCCAGATTCTTGCAAACCCCTCCCCAACACCAAGTCCTTGAATTCCAAACACGCCAACCCAAAATCCAAAAAACCAAAAAAAAGTTTTAAAAGTTTAACTTACCAAATGGCTGCAAAAGAAGTTTTGGAAAAGCTTCAAAATCGCCAAAGTCTTCAACAACCTCAAAAACGGCTACCACACGGCTCGAAGTCAAGTCGCAACTGCACCTCTTCAAGCAATGCACCTTGGGTTTTAACGGTTTTACGAAGAAGGAAACAAACTTGCAAGACGTTTTCATCTTGCGAAGCAAGCCCATAGGGAAATTCGTCTTGCGAAGCAGCTCAAAAACCGCAAAACCCTTTCGTCTAGTGAGTTTTTCGTCTTGCGAGGCATTCGTCTTGCGGGGCACCACTGAATTATTATTATTATTATTATTATTATTGGGGAGATTTTTGTTATGAGGGAAGGACTTTTGTTGGGGTGGGTAGAACCAACATGATCGGACAGTTACTTAAGTATTTCTATTGGTTTACTTGATCAGGGGGGCAGCCCTCCCCCCTCCCTTGGCTACACCAATGGGTACCACCAGTGCTCATCATACTGTCCATGCTCTTTCTGACTGTTTTTCCCCCAGGTTGAACACTTTAACCACTGCACCACACTGGCACTGCAATTCACTCGGTTCATTCCTGCCTCATCCTTCTATGTCATTTTAGCCATTTCTTCACTCTTCCTGGTGCCTGTGTTACTTAGCGGTGGCCTGCGTGCCAGGAAAAAAAGCCTAAACTACATTTTTGTCTTTATGAAAAGAGCCCATTTAACGAAAGAAATGAATTTTCTTTTTCAGAGAATGCACAGCTTTTACCAGGTGTTGCAGCTAATTGCCAGGAATAATGAGATGCCGTCTCAGAAGGGTAAGTTATAGCAGAATGGCTCCAATTAAGCGATAAAGACCAAGGTCACAATAACAAAGTTGGCTAGTTCCAGAAAACTTCCAGATACTTCTTATTGCAAAGCAATCCAAAACAGGTGATAGATTCTTTTTCTCGAATACAAATGGTGACTTGCCACTGGTAATGAAATGTGTTACCGTAAGGTGCTAAATTTTTTAGCTTTGTGCTTGCACCATCTTTTGAAGAAACCACAGAGTCAACAAACACCTCCAGAGGATCTCTGTATTTAACCAATGATGACGACATCTGGATGACTCAATAACATGGTTAGGCAAACTAAGGCCCGGGGCCAGATGCGGCCCAATCACCTTCTAAATCCGGCCCGTGGATGGTCTGGGAATCAGCATGTTTTTACAAGAGTATAATGTGTTCTTTTATTTAAAAATGCATCTCTGGGTTATTTGTGGGACATAGGAATTCGTTCTCCCCCCAAAATATATATATATATAGTCTGGCCCGCCACAAGGTGTGAGGGACAGTGGACCGGCCCCCTGCTGAAAAAGTTTGCTGACCCCTGCTCAATAACTACACTGAACATGGAATATTTGTAAACTTTAACAAATTGGCTTAATTTGTCTAGCTGGTATTATGAACTTGGTTTGTGTGGTTAATTATGCCTCTACTTCTCTGCTGGCCCATCTATCTGATAACACCTGGAGGATTTGAAAGAGCAATTTGAAGGAGGAGAGATGGCCCCATGTACATGTTCAAGGATGTAGTTTCCTACACAGGACAGCAAATTAAAGGAATCACAGTAGAGAACAGGAGTCTTTCAGAAGGCAGAAGGAATTAGACCTAGAAGAGTGTAAGTTGTGGGTAAGACTATACTGATAAACAATAGTATATAGAGGGCAAGGCAGTAAATAATTTGGTTGTAGGCAACATTAGTCCTACTTTGAGGAGACCCATTAAAATAATGGACATGTCTAATGTCAGTGAATATACTCTAACTGAGTTGGAGATAACCCACAGAAACACAAGAATATTTTTTGTTGTTTTTAGATTTTATTTTATTTTAGAACAATTATATACATCAATGTGAGCAACACTTTAATGTATTTTTCTTTTTCTTTCTTTCTACAGAGTAGTGGCATTTTCATGTCAGAGAACAGGCTTCCTCAACCTCAGCCCTCCAAATGTTTTGAGACTACAATTCTCATCATCCCTGACCACTGGTCCTGCTAGCTAGGGATCATGGGAGTTGTAGGCCAAAAACATCTGGAGGGCCGAGGTTGAGGAAGCCTGTCAGATAATATATTCATAAGGATATTGTTGTTGTTTAGACGTTTAGTTGTGTCCGACTCTTCGTGACCCCATGGACCAGAGCATGCCAGGCACTCCTGGCTTCCACTGCCTCCCGCAGTTTGGTCAGACTCATGTTTGTAGCTTTGAGAACACTGTCCAACCATCTCGTCCTCTGTCGTCGTCCCATCTCACCATCTCGTCCTCTGTCGTTAATTCATAAGGATATAACCAGCCTTTTTCCAAATTAAAGAAAGAACTTACTTTCTAACCATGCAGATGTAGCTTGTCTAGTTTAGGATCAGCCACGGTTCTTTATTCTGGTGTATGGTTCTGGCGGCAGTTGTCTTGTGCTTCTCTTGTATATAAAGAAGATGAAGTTATTACACTCAGTAAAGGGTGTGCTAGGAGAACATTTGTCCAGGATGCAACATTTGTGCGGAATATGGAAATGTTTACCTAGGAAGCAGGCAGGGGTGTTCCGGGGAGTGGGGGCAGGGAGCAGTCTGCCCCAGGTACCAGTCCAAAGGAGGGGTGACAAAATGCTGACCTCCGATCGGCAGCACACCCCAAGGCACACACTGCTTGCCGCGCACCCCCTGGGACTTGTGCCCTGCCCCCTGAGACAAGCGCTGTTCCGGGTACTGGAGCATGTTGCTTTGCCTCTGGAAGCAGGGAAGCACTCTCAGGAGATGTGTTATGTAAGAAAGAAAGAACAGAAGAATCTGCTGGATGAGGTCAAAAGCCCATCTAGACCACCACCCTGTTTTCACAGTGGCCACCAAATGGCCACTATGGAAACTGTGATGGCCTGGGAATCCGATTCAGAGGCTGAACCGGAGGAATCCCAGCCTGCACAGGAGTCCCTGCCTCCAGGGCCGGCTGAACTGGGGCAGGGCCTTGATTCTGAAGCACCTGCACCTGTGCCGGATCCTCAGGAGCAGGCACCAGGTGAATCCACTCTGGCTCCGGAGGTGGTTGAGGACTCAGTGCCTACAGGTGAGTCTCCCCCTGGGTCCAGTAACCCTTCAGCATCTCCTGAACTGCAGAGGCTCAGGGCAGAGAGGCGGAGGGAACTGGTTTCTCCCAGGAGGAGTGCTCGCCTTAAGGCCAGGAGAGGCGGGTCTCCTGGGGTCCGGGACCGCCCCTGGCCTCAGAGAAGATAAAGGCCAGTCAGCCCGGTCCCAGGTTGCGGGAGCAACGTCGTTGAAGAGCTGTTTCGGCCAGCACCCAGTCTGGTTCCCCCAGAGTTCCTGTCCTTGCCCAGCTCCTCACTGTGGACCCCACTTCGCCCGTGGAGGACTGTCTGCCGACCCTCGACTCAGGTCCTGGACCTCGCGCCATGGTAACCTCCCCCCTGGACCAGCACAGAAACCCATAAACAGAACCCAGGTGCAACAGCATTCTCCCTGGTTGTGATTCCCTGACATGCTGTGTCCAAAGGTTGAGGAAGAACATAGCCACTGTGGTTAGCAGCCATTGATTGTATTTTTCTTCATGAATCAAAGAGACTGGTGAGAGGTGAGAGTTGCTTACAAGAAGAAGGAGGGCATGAAATGAAAGTGCTGCTTAGGAGGCACAGAGTATATTTTCTTCTCCAGCACTGGTTAATTGCAAGAGAGTCTTTATATATTAAGAATAGTTGCTGGTTATTTTAGATCAGAGAATATTGTTTCCAGTGTATAGCCATAGCTGCCTCCTTCTCCTCCACTTTATCTGAACTTAAGCAATGCCAAGGAGTTCCATTTTACTGAGTTGCTTTATGCACCTTTAGTTCTTTTTCAGTTGTGTGCATTACCAAAACTATTTGCACTGGGCTTAAATACAAAAATCAAGGCAGTGCCACTGCTTTTCAATAATGGAAGCAGTTTTTTACTTCAATACATCATCAGTACTTCACTTTATGAATTGTAATTTCCCACAGAATATTGGAGGATATTATTGTGTAGTCTGACATGGTTTCACTTAACACATCAGTGATGAACAATAGGCCTCTAGTAACTCTAGTTTTGTTTAATTCTGAATAGTTGCAGAGGCAAGATTGAATAATGATCTTAATCGGTCAAGTTAAAATGGAAACATTCTCAGAGGACACACAATTGTGCTATTAAAGGAGAGGATCCATAAAGAGATGCTAAAAGGTGTGAGAGAGATAGTGTGTATATGGAGTGCTTGAGAGAGAAGAAACAGAAAAGAAAACTCCAAACTCAGCTGCAAAACAGGAAAGTAAGATTCAAAAATAAACGTTTCAGTGCAATCAGTCACACTTGATAATAGCAGCTGAATAGGAAGATGAGTATACTTAATACCTGATGACTCAATACGGGATGGAAATCTTTAATCATTAAATGGACTCTGCTGCTTTTGAGTAGTCCCATTGTGGTCCTCAGGGTAGTTGAACAAAGACATGAGTAACACAAAACAGATAGGTCTTTAAAACCTTCAATGAATTTCATGCCAAGAGAATAGTTTTCTAATAGAATACAGGTCTGGTCATGCACACACTTTCCCTATGCAACACCATTTTCATGTTTCTTTCCAGTTTCCAGAAAAGATTGCTATTACCCAAGATCCAATGAAATAATTTTTTAATTGATATTACTGTGAGTTAAGTGTGCATAGCTCCTGCAGAAATATGCAGCCTGGCATGCCAGTCCTAACAGCCTTAGGATGACCACTTTTGCATCCCCAAAAGAAAGGACAAAAGAGAACACAGATTTGCATAACATGTGTGAAGGCTTATGTAAAGTGCTATTTTTCTAGAAAAAGAGGTAGTGGAACTCTCCATGAATGCCTCCCTTGTCTTATAATGGCAATTGCATCCAGCTAAGAGGTGCTGGAACTAGATAGCACAGTTGGTTTGAGTGTGGTTTCTGATAACGCCAAGGGATCGATCCTCATATGGGATAGTTGCATATTTCTGCATTGCAGGGAGTTGCTCCAATCAGCTACATCGGCTATCAGAGGCCTTTTGAGTGTCAAATTCTCCTTGCTGTCCTCTTTACTCACAACTGCACCCATCTTGCTAGCTACCAAACTACTTACTGATTGCAAAGATTGTTTGAAGTGACATGGATTAAGGATTAGTTAGAGGCGTCTCAAATGATCTCTGATGTAAAAGGTAAGGTAAAGGTGAAAGACCACTAGATGGTTAAGTCCAGTCAAATTCAACTATGGGGTGTTGAGCTCATCTCCGCTTTCAGGCTGAGGGAGCCAGCGTTTGTCCGCAGACAATTTTTCCAGGCCATGTGGCCAGCATGACTAAACTCCTTCTGGCACAACAGGACACCTTGACAAGTGCCAGAGCACACAGAAATGCCATTTATCTTCCTGCCACAGTGGTACCTATTTATCTACTCATGCTGATATGCTTTCAAACTGCTAGGTTGGCAGGAGCTGGGACAAAGCAATGGCAGCTCACCCCATCGCGGGGATTTGAACTGCCAACCTTCCGATCGGCAAGCCCAAGTGGCTCAGTGGTTTAGACCACAGCACCACTCTGATGTAGTAGCTTTCTAAGGCAAATCTTGACTGCCTTTTCCTCTGCCAGTTAGTTTGCTGTTTTGAAAAGCACAAAGAGGGTCACTGATTAATTTCTCGTTCAGCAGATAAAACTACAGGTTAGATTTTCCAGTGGGATCATTTCTTTGGAACATTGTTTGGATAATGATAATGATGATGATGATGATGATGATGATGATGATGATGATTATTTCTCAGTGAAAGGGCTTAATGTTCGTTATCTGGCAACTTTGTTGCAGCTGCAGAAGTATGTGGGAGCCTTGGTCTCTTCTACAACCCTAGAAGAGCTCAATGTATGCAAAGGGGATCCCCAGATTTGTTTCTGACTGGAGAATTCCTGAGCATTGAAGGAAAGGGGCTGTCCTTGATTGCACATCATGTTTTTTTGCATGGTGGTGAATCTCCTGAAAGTTTTTGGATTGTTCCTTTTATCTTTTAGCTCTGTAGTTAATTAATTGACAAACTGTGCTGATTAATCAGTGATAGCTTTCCATCCTACCATCTGCAGCTTCCTTTTTACTGAAATATGTAAATTTATGTAGCACAACTAATTAAGACAACATAAGGTATGGAACAATTTTCTGAATGGATCTTATCCATATGGAACCAAAAATAAGTTTTTTTCCCCTAAGGGCTAAATCATCTGTTGCTGATTTCAACGTTACAGATTCTGACTAGTGAACACTACAAAACTCACTTATTGCAATAACTCTGGTATATTTTTTTCCACATGTTGGCTGTCTTGTTTTTTGTCTGCTGCTTTTATTATTTATATTTCATGGTTGCTTTGGTATCTTTATATTGCGATGATCAGTTGTCGTGTTTTGTTGCTCTTGGGATTTCTCTTTCTGCCTCTTTCTTCTTCTTTTTGACACTTTCTGGAGCTTGTCAGATGTTATCCCAATAACAGGTGCTGTCAGATCCCTCAGTCCAGAATGTGTCTTCCTGTCAGTCAATTTCAACACTCTCCAAGAGGATGCTCTCAAAAAGAGGGGAGCCATCCACCCAACAATGCTGTGCAAACTCCATTTCCCCAGATTGCTTTGGCTTTTCCAGCACCCAAACAGAATATTTTGAAGCAGGCCTTCCCTTTGCCCTTCTGATCTTGACAACACTCTGGATTAATCACAGGAACCAATCACACCAATCACAGGAACAAAGAACTCAGCCAACCCTGCTTGTCACTTCTAAGACTGGAACATTTCTTGTTAACAGCCAGAGTAATATATAATCTGTTGGGGGCAAAATGCTGTGACCAGCCTTTTATCATGCTTTTTTTCCAGATAGTACACTCTCACTCAGCCCTTAGGCTAGCCTTGGGCCAAACCAAGTTAAATGGGCTAAGACAGAGAAACCTAGATGTCATTATTGCTTTATGCAAGCATTCTGTGATATGCATGCTCGTTGCAGGTTTTGTATGTATGCGACCCTGAAATGTAAACCAATTTTACACTGGTAGATCTACTTTGACAATGAAAAGCAAGCAAGACAATCATCATTACAGTATTGATTGTGTGTGTACGTGTGTGTTGGGGGAAGAGCCATGTATAAATAAATATTACTTTTTCTCCCCACATATTTTGCCTTTACAGTGTGGTTTCACATTTCATTTAATGCTAAATGGTTCATTACACTGAGTAGCAACTTACTTCTCTTATTATGGTGTTATCGTTCACTTTGTCAAAATATGTCTACTTGATAAGAAATCTGACAGAAGTTGCTTATGACGGGATCACTAGCAACCATCAGTTTCTCTCTAGCAAATGAAACTGTAACCATGGAAACAGCCTTTTTTTGCCAGAATGAAAATGAGACAGCACTCTGCTGCAGCCATTAGTAGAATACACAAATGTCCCTCAAGGCAAACATCTAAAGCAAATGGACTGCAAAGTAAGGAGCACTAATTTCTATTTATTTAGGATTTGTAAACCTAGCAGAGCAAGATATTAACAAAGGAACAAACAAAGGAAGGTTAAAAAAATGTTTGTGTTTTCCTCTTCCCTTTACAAAACCATATATATATATATATATATATATATATGCCTTGAATCTGATTTTTAAAAGCTTAAATTTAAAGAAGTATCTACATTCCATTGCTAACATTTAACTTTGGCATTTAAAAATATTTTGTACTGGACATGGGGATAATATCTATGTTGATGGAGGAGGCTACAGTTCAGATATTTGAAACGATCCTGTTGGTGAAATATAAAGGAAATATTCTAATTCTCTAAGTGTTCTGTTCATGCCAATAAGGAAAAAGTAGTCTGCAGAATAGACATTATCAGCAATCAGCTACATCGGATGTCAGAGGCCTTTTGAGTGTCAGATTCTCCTCGCTGTCTTCTTTACTTGCAACTGCACCCATCTTGCTAGCTACCAAACTACTTACTGATTGCATAGATTGTTCGAAGTGACACGGATTAAGGATTAGGTAGAGGGGTCTCAAATGACCTCTGATGCAGCTTTTTAAGGCAAATCTTGACTGCCTTTTCCTCTGCCAGTTAGTTTGCTGTTTTGAAAAGCACAAAGAGGGTCACTGATTAATTTCTAGTTCAGCAGATAAAACTAAATGTAAGATTTTTCCAGTGGGATCATTTCTTTGGATCATTAATTGTTTGGATAAAAAAAAATTGCAGAGAGCTTTGCTCTGGAACAGTATATAAATTTAATGAATCAGTGAATTCATAGAAGGAGATGTTTGGAATTGTCATCCTAGTCACTTCATATTTTATGTTCCTTTATGTAATGGAAATCTGCATATTCCTAAGAATATTCCTGAACAACAGCACATCATAACAAGGCACTGTGCTAGAGAGAGGAAGCCACACAAAACTTTAAAAACAAAAGCACAATTCTATATGAGCATGAAATCTGCTTCTCTCTCTCCCCCCCCCCCCCCCATTTTGGATTCACACACTTCCTAAATTGTATTGTTTGGATAGCATGTCATTTATTTAGAATAGTTCCCTGGCTACACACAACAGCAGTTATTGGTGGGTGGGGGTAAAGAAGACTCACAAGGAATGCATTGTTTTGTTTAACTCTTGGCACACTGGAAAAAACTGAGAAAGAAGCAACTTAGGGTTTCCTGGCTATCCGCTGGAATCCAGACATGACTCTCTGCTTGTAACTTACTGCAGGGAACAATGATACCAGAAATATGGCAGCAGGGGATGGTAATAACATTTTCAAAAAGAAGGGGTTCCTTCAGCAGCTGATTTGCTTTTTCTTCTACTTGGTAGAACCATGGAATTCATGTGTAGTGTGGTGTAGTGGTTACGAGTGGTAGGCTCGTAATCTGGTGAACTGGGTTCACGGCCCCACTCCTTCACATGCAGCTGCTGGGTGACCTTGGGCTAGTCACACTTCTCTGAAGTCTCTCAGCCTCACTCACCTCACAGAGGGTTTGTTGTAGGGGAGGAAGGGAAAGGAGATTGTTAGCCGCTTTGAGACTCCTTTGGATAGTGATAAAGCGGGATATCGAATCCAAACGCTCCTCCTCCTCCTCCTCCTCCTTCATTTCAGTATACTAATGCAACCATGTTATATGGGAGGAATATTCAAATGTTACGGCAGCAGTGTGGGAGCTGCTCAAGGAAAAGCAATTCCCGTACCCTGTGGCCATCCAAGATGTTGTAGAACTTCAACTCCTATCAACCTCAGTCATGGACAATAATCAGATCTCCATGTAGTCCAGCAACAGCTGGAAGGCCACAGGTTCCCTGTCACTAGTTAAGGGCCCTCTGCTTATTTATGTATAATGACTTACTTATTCACATTGCCGTTGTGGGTGCCATAGACAGCTACGTACCTTTGAAGTAAATCACACATGCATAAACATATCTGTACCCATCAGAGTATTATAACAGCCCTAATGTCAGGGACCGTGCTGAGGAGGGCTGGACTGAGGAGGAATGGTGGGAGCCACCTCCCCCTGCTCCTGAATCTTCCCAGGAGCAGGAGGACAGTATAGATTTGGAATAGTGGTTTGCAGAGGGACATAGTTCAGAAGGCACCCTGCATTCTCACAGAGAGAAGCTGTTTGCATCTTCCATTTGTTCAGAATAGGTAGTAGCAGCCAATGAACTGCAGACATGTTTAAGCAGGGGCAGTGTTCAACATAGGAGAGGCTGAGCCAAGCAAACAAGAACTGAACAGGAAGACCGGATGTTCTGTTGTGCATTGTGGATTTTTGAGATCTTTCCTGGGCACCATAGGAGCTACTGATGGATATGCAATGGTTCCTGGGGGCACCATGTTTGTGAGCTTTGTGTTTTTACTCCACTAAGACAGTTGTCATCAACTTCCCACAAACAATGCATTCTTCATAATCAACAACAGCATCCTCATCAATCTTTCATTCAAATCAAGGTGTTCAGTAAAGCTGGCATAGAGACATTCTTAGGTTAGTTCTCCCTCTTCCATAGCCCCATTTTTTAAAACACACACACACACACACACACACACACACACACAATACATTCCACCTGGAGATTAAATGTGTGTTCTCTTATTTCTGCATTAATCAAAAAATGTAGAAATATCAATACATTCAATAACTGCACAAAATGAATTTATGCCTTACTCAGCAAAAAGTGACTTCTAAAAGTGCTGTCTTTTTAGAAGCAGTACTAAAAATAAATGAATGCTAGGAAAAGGGGGGGAAACGATGGGAGCATTCCACTGGAATATTCTCTGGCCGTTCCCCACTGAAGTTGAATAGGAGATGTGCAATGCCTTGGTTTGCACAGGAGAATGTTTGGCTGGATTGGGTGAATGTTCATTCAACAGGGTTTACCTTTATCAGTCTATCGCTAATATAAAAGCTACATCTAAATTTCCTACTTTGTCTAGTCACACAGCTGCATGAATAATACATCGGCATACAAATATGTGCAGTATTTTAAAATGGGTGGCAAACGCTTCAGGCAAAATGGTGACCATTTTACGCTCAGGCAAATAAGAGCACAATTCAGCCAAAGGCAGGACACTGACTGCTTGAAATACCTCAGGACACCTCCTAGCTCACCAGGACAGAAGTTGCCATCAAATAAAACTGACAAAGAATCCAACTCTAAGGCTATTGTGACAGTATTTTTCAGTACCTTTCTAAGAAGAAGAAGAATCCCTCTTCGACCATTTATTATCCTTCATATCAAAGTTATTTTGTTTTTGATAACAAGGTGGAGGGGGGATATTATTTAGCTGTGTACTTGTCAGTAACAGGGATAGTATAAGAATTAAATAAAGCTGATTCAAAGAACTATCCAAGTTGCTCTTGAAAATCCAGCACTGGTCCTGACCAGCAAGGCACTTACAAAATTTCGTTTTTCACTGTGTTCCAAAAAGCTTACCCTTGGTAGCAGCCACACCAGACCCACAAAAATCATCCAAACCACCCCCATCCTAAAAACAACATGCTCTTAATGTTTTTAAATGCTTCAAAGTGGTGTTGGGTTTTTTAATTGTACAGTTTTGCTACTTTGTTGTTTCCTACCCTGAGTTTCTTTAAGGAAGGGTGGGATAGAAATTTTAATGCTGTTGTTGTTGAAGATGATGATCTCTTAGAAGTGCAGTCCAAAGGGCCAACATTTCACGATACTGTGTATGCATGGTGGGAAATCAATTCTTAATAAAGTATATACTCTAGGTGACTCCTCACCTTCAAGAAATCTGCACTGCATCAAAACCAAGTGTTGATTTGTAGGATTATCTACTAAATAATAGCTCCTTCCAGTAGATTACATCAGAGTAAATTTACCTGTGAAATAATTACTTTTATTCAAGGAAATAAGATTATTTCATCCTGTTCCACCCAACTTATCTTCTTAAGGGGCAGTATTCACATTAGGTAGAAAAACAAGAGAAAATCTAATACTTAGCCTCACTGACAGAAATGCTTAGGTTTGCAAAGGTTTGTGGTTTTTGTCACATTATCAGCCTCAATATCTGTATCTGCTATATGCTTGCTTGAGTACTTACAGAATCATAGAAACACATAATGAGAGAAAATAAAAGCAACTTTAAAAAAATAGTATTAGTGTACATAAAAGGGTCTGTGATTCCTATATTCAAAATGTGATTTGCATACAAGTTCTTCATTTGGTTGCATTTATTGGAGGAGAATAAGAGCCCTGATATACACTGGCCTCCAATGTGTAAGCCAAACTATGGTTTACTGGGACTGCACTAATGTGTTACCTCCCACAGAAGAGGAAACAGCCTCTTTGTTCTTCCACAACCATTTAAGCACTGCACAGCTCAACGCAGGTCTCTCCATTTTAAAAGTGATCTGTAACCACTGTGGAAACCTTGGCTACGGACTATTGTTAAGGAGAAGAGACCTTAAGGATGATCCTGAGTTCAGACAACACACTAAGCCAGTTCTTGGTTTAGCTGCCACGCTGTGCTGGTGCTGAAAAGGACGATGGAGGAACAAAGTGGGTGCAAGCTCATCTCTGGGAGCCAACATGGTAGCACCAGTAAGCCATAGTTTGGCATACTATGATGGGCAAAGCAGACCATCCTGTGAGCTCTTCA